CCTTCCTTCCTTCCTTCCTTCCTTCCTTCCTTCCTTCCTTCCTTCCTTCCTTCCTTCCTTCCTGGGACTGTCACTGGGAGACACCAAGCAACATCCAACACCCACTCACCTAGGCCTGCCTAGCTACCGGAGGCAGCTCTGATGGGAGAGACGTCCACAATCTCTACCAAGTGAGTTTAAATCTAGGCTTGATCAGCTGACTCAATGGCTCTCCGAGTTGCTGGTAACACCCATGGCATTTTTGCACATGCCAAGAAACATGGGGGCCAGATGGTCAGCTGGGCCACACGGCACAGTTCTCCAGTTCCCCATCTTCTCAGAACCTACTGTCACTCCTGAAATACCTCGCTCTCCATGAAACCTTTCTGGAATTCTTTGGAAAGGAAATGACAATTTCCTTCATGTCATTTCCCACTCCTGCACCACCCCTCCCCCAACGGCCACAAACAAAATGGAAGCTGCCCCAGGAACAGAACAGCTGTCCCCTCTATGCAAAAAAAAAAAAAAAAAAAAAAAGTCTTTCCTCTGGCTAAGTGTGGAGATGGTGCCTGCTGTATCATGTGACCAGTAGCCTGTATTTAAGAGCCAGAGGGCCAGAGTCAGGATGGAGTGTGCAGTCCTGGACAGAGCAGAACTAAGCCATCTGCAGAACTCAAATCCAGAGCCTTGTCCCAGCTAAAGCTGAACTCCAATCAGCCAAGCAAATCCTCCTTCTTGAGCAAGTGTCCAGTGAAGTGGCTCCGGCCACAGCTCTGCTGTCAGGTCCTTCCCCTTTGTTCCCTTCTGTCCACTGCCCCCTCCACTGGAGATGAAATCAGGAAGGGGGCGAGGTTTTGCAAGGTTGGGTTTTCTCTATGCTTATTGGCAAAAAAAAAAAAATCCAGGTTCCTAAACTGGGTGTTGTAGGACATGCCTTTAATCTCAATAATTTAGGAGGCTGAATCTTGAGGATCCTTAGTATGAAGCCAGCCTGGGCTACATAGCAAGATTTTGCCTTTAAAAAAATTAAGAGTTAGGGATATACCTCCATAGGTACTGTGTTTGCCTAGCATGCAAGCTGTGTTAAACTGGGTATGGGGAGACACACATTTAATCCCAGCACTTGAGAGGCAGAGGTAGGTGAATCTCTAGGTCAGCCAGGTATATATAGTGATTTTCAAGGCAGGGTTTAAAAAAAAAAAAAGCTGGGGCTATAATCCCCAGTGCTGAATAAAAACAGGCATGTTGACTCATTTT